ATTGCATCGGACCTATAAACCACCCATGACACACCACGGAGAGTGACCACCGCTAAGAGTATGTGGAGTGCCATAAGAAGATCATTCTCTCGGATGACACCAAAGATCTTCAGGCTACTATTTACCACACACCTACGAGCTATTCTTGCGTACAGCCTAACGGGTACATTTCCGCTTCCAAAATTAGAATGTACCCTAATAGAAAGGGTCCAGAGACAAGGCTCAGAACTTGTCTTCGGACTTCGCGATTTCCCTACTCTATTCGACTCCAAGGGATGGACCTCTTCTCAGTGGACTATCATCGCCGCCGTGGAGACCTCATTTTCACCAGGCGCATACTAAGAGGGGAACTTGGAAATGAACTGCGACAGTTTTTCCAACTCAACGTAGAAGGACCAACGCGAGGTCACACATCGAAAGTATTTAAACCGAAGATGCTCCGAGTCCGCTCCGCCGTTGCCCTTTCTACTCAAGTGGTAAACAACCGGAACAGCCTCCCAGAAACCGTAGTCAGCACACAGACAGGGAAGTTTCAAGCGGCTTTTAGTTTCCCATCTGCGCAAGATGCCTGGATAGCACTGTTCCTCCGCGACTGCCCTGGTAACTTGTGGACTCTCGGGTCGCTAATGCACACTTGCTTCTCGTGCTGATCTGGAGGCGACGGGGCTAACATAGGACTTCACTCCTGCCCTCTACAAATCAATGATCTCAATGAACTCTCTCACCGTTCAGTGGCCATAGTTCCTATCCGACTTCAGTGTTGTATACGTCATTATTGGCTGATTAGCTGCCAATTGACCCTTTCCTTATTCGACAAAGGCCTCCGAACCCCTCACACCCTTGCTGTTAAATGCAGTACCCCCTTTTGTGACGTAATAAATTGGTAATCTGAACCGATCAATAGTATATAGTACATTTGGAGGTACTATCTAACTAACTATCAGTGGAGTTTCCCACTGCGAATTCGTTAAGAACATGTTGCAACGTGCACAACCCCGCTCCAGAGACGACCGCATCAAAGCTGAATTCGGCTCCAGTTGTTTCATACCGTCCATTGCATCCGGGTAATGTCAATCATAACCATACTGATGAAAACGTTGGAAAGAAAAGACGTAACAGGTCAGTACTGACCCATCTCACTTGCCTTGGCGAGACTAAGCTGGAGCTTCTTGCAATATCGTACACAAACCCAGGATTAGTCACGCACACCATTAGAGGTGATTCCTTTACATACCGTTCGGCGCTTGGCATTACCGCGAACAAACTCTATTGCAGGAGAGAAACTGGACCTTCAATTCGGGAAATTTCACTTGATGAACCCACATTATATGCGGCGTAGCTCGAGAGATTGGAGAGATGAAACTAACTGGTCGATGTGAACCATATCGGAGTCTAATGCAGCTCAAATTTCAGTGACTCAACTTCCTCTGGGAACAGGGTGCTGCTATATATATATATATATATATATATATATATATATATCGTTGGCGGCATCCGGTTTCGGATTTGCCTGTCACTGTGGCAAGCCACAAAACGCCTGCGCCTACAGAGGGACCATGGATGGCTTGCGCTGCACCACCCACAGCTCCAACCACACACCCCATATCCAGTGTAAACCCGAAGGAATAAGACGGGGAGGCATGCGAATGGGAACCACGTTTCATCAACGGAGCCGGCCCACACTCCTTCACAGGCAAACACAAGCACACTGCATTTGGGAATCAAGCGCACACAAGGCGGTGGCTGGACCGTAGTCCGCTCCACACTGACTGCATGGAACCACTCTTTGATCCTAACACGGCCACAAGGACCGTGCACCCTGTCCCCTCCAGCAACGACCAACTGTCTCCTGTATCTCGTGTGGACGAGGTAGTGGGTAATAGACAGGTAGGCACCTTGTCAACATGCACATCAAGCGCAACCACACCGGGGATATCAAACAACAGCCAAACACTTGAGAGAGAGAGAAAGAAAAAGAGAAAAACTCGATTAATGAATAAGGAAACGGTGACATAAACCTTAATGAAATAGCATACGTAATAAGTTGTTAACAAACAAATCCTAGCTAAGTGCACGAGGTCAGGAAGTATAGTTCACGGAATGCCACGAACACAGAAATGTTATGGAAATCGAATACAATTGGCTGAAGCGATGTGTGCAAGTTAATGGAATAGAGTACAGGGAGATATTTATATGAGAAAGAAAAGCATACAGGGTAAAAACTGTAAACCCACCACCTGAAATAAAGAGACTTAGCATGCAAGCACGCGGTTAGTAAATCGAATTCAGCGTGCCTACAAACGCTGCACCGGCTCGTCGTAATTCTCTGCAGGACCCGTCGTCGCTTCTGTAGTGGCCCCAAATGGCACAGCGCATGGCCCAGTAGACATTTATATGAGAAAGAAAGGCATTAGGAGAGAACCGAAAACCCACCACCTGAAATAAAGAGACTTAGCATGCAAGCACGCGGTTAGTAAATCGAATTCAGCGTGCCTACAAACGCTGCGCCGGTGCTGCCTACGTTCACTGCGGGACCCGTCGTCGCTTCGGTAGTGGTCCCGAGTGACCTCACTCATGGCTCACTAGGCCTGCCTGACTAAGGCACTCGCGACCGCATGTTCTACAGCACAATGCGCTCGATGTCGATGGAGTACAATTCATCGGGGCTTATATATATATATATATATATATATATATGTAATCTCAACAGTCTAGTAACCAGACATAGAGCCAAGAGAACCATGGAAATCAGTGTATAAGAGACAGTCATTGCGTCATAATCGTCATGGCATGCTAGCTGAAGGTGGGCAACACACTTCAGCTAATATGCCGCAAGAAAATGGAATATTTTGACAAAAATACAGAACAAAACATTTTTAGTTGGTTTGTCACACGCCGGTTTTGCTCTTTTTTTGTCATTTTCAATTTTTGTAGAACTAAACATGTGAATCAACACAACACTGTACACAATTCTTCCATTGATTCCGGTTGCGGGCCACGTCTTCAAGTGTCCTAAGCCATTGGCACTCCCCATCTTTGGGTCCCCATCCTGGAAGACGTACGGGTCCAACAGCGGCTAGACACGACGTCAGCGATTTCATGTGCTGCCGCCAAGTGGAAGGCTGACCACCACGCGGTCGCTTCCAGCCAGGTCCTTGACGAGCGAATAGAGCGCGACGCGGTAGACGCTCAGGTGCCATGCGTAGGACATGACCGAGCCATCTTAACTGGCGCAACAAAACCAGTTTGTTGAAGGAAATACTTGCATTCCCCAAGACGCGACGTCGAACGTCATTACTGGTAACTCGATGTTGCCACCGAACACGAGCGATCCTCCTTAAGCAATATATATATATATATATATATATATATATATATATACTCGACATTTGGCCATTAAATAATTGGCAGAGCGCCACAACATATTGATAACAACAAAAAGAGGGGAGAAACGGAACTGAAGGAAAGAAAGTTCCGCAAATCCTTCGTCATTGGATGCCGTTCCGGGTCATACTTGATAACGTTTCCAAGCAGGGGTGCTCATTGTTTTTGTAACCCCAACCCGGGAGTGTGTAAATTCCCACTGTGGCCAACTGCAGTGTCAGCGCCTTAACACCTTGGACGTAGGTTGTGTGTTGGCTACGTTACCGTCAGTTCCGATCAACGCTGACCCATGCAATCAAAGCGCAGTAGGCCAACCGCTGAGCAGGCAAGAGGTGAACGTGCCCCAACCACCGGAGCTTATGCAAGGAAATTATGCACCTCAGTGGTCGGCTGGGCCTGTCTGACTTGAATAGCCACCGTCGAACAGGGTTCTTGTATGACTGAGAGATCTGGCCCGTTCGCGCGAGCGACGTCTAGAAACTGCCTGTTCTTCATCACCACTGCCTCCGAAGCACCGCTGGCGTACCTTGGTGGCATCGCAGTAGTGATGATGACATTCGACGTCGGGTCTTCAAGTCAGACAAGCTCAGCCGACCACTGAACTACATGATTTCCTTGTGTGCGCTACCCGAATTCGCGTCCAATCTTCTCTGGGCCTGTAGGTCGCATTTGTGGCTCATATGCCTCGATAGCTCACGATGAAACAGGACCGCTGACCTGTGTCAAATATTCGATGCCACTGCATCACATTCCCATCCTCTTAGTTTAGCAGAGTCAGGCGCACTTTACGTCAACCGAGTACCCACTTCAGTATCCAGAAGTTGTCCACTGCCTGTTTGCTGAAACGTAAAAGGAGTCAGATGATGGTATAGGATGTGTATGAGAGGGACTTAATGGATGACGATAAGTATAAATCTGTCCGTGGTCCATCTAGATCGAACTCATATCATCTCGATGCGGTGTTTTCAACTTTAATAAGGTTCACAGGTATCGTAGCTGTTCTCACATCTTGTGTAGCTGTTTCTTATTTATTCAACACCACCGTTCCAAGAGACCTAAGTGTTGCTACGAGAATTGGATTAGTGAACCGGTTAAACTTGCGCACGTGCTCGCAGTAATGAGGCTTCCTCGTTACCCAGTGTTTGAACCTACAACTTCGCTCGCCGCTTCACTCAGTATTAAATGCTCTACACATCCTCAGATGTGCCCAATCTGAAGTTGGTTGTTCACTGAATTTGTTATAAATATGCATTTTGAAGGCGCTACTGGATTGTGTGCTTTTGCAGATTTACAAACTCCTCATATGGTGTTGTACATTTCGCACACCTTATATCTGTTACACAACATTGATGTCTAAACAGCTCACCCCACACTCTATGCCCAGGATGTATGCATTCCAAGTACTTTATTGCTTATACCCCTTAGAGAATGCAAATGGGCGAAGCAAACATGCTATCTTCCCTCGCATTATAAACCGATACCGTTAGTAATTTTATACTTACATTCTCTCATTGCTATTTCCAAAACGTGTATGCGAGACATTCCCATTTCCCCTCCGTCCAGTCCATTTCGCTGATGTGGATCAGCTGGTTTTTCCGTTGCCTCTCTACACTTAGCTACTTCCGATCGGACTGTCAATCACGGATCTTTCATATCAAGTCCCGAACCGAGATCCGACTACGAATGGAATTCTCCTCGTCTGTCCACCAGAAGAAACTTTACACGTTCGGAAAATTCGTGTTCCCTGCTTTCCGACACATTGTTAACACCTCTGGCCAGTAGAGTCTCGTGCATGCTAGAAAGCGATGAGGAGCAGGCGGATGGCACCGGCCCACACGAAACATCTTGTTACACTTCGGCAAAGACTACGTGGTCAGATGGGGACGACCCGCTTAGTGGTGAAAAAGTACAAGCAGATAGTTTTCCAGTGGAGGAAACTATATCTACTGCTTGTTCATCAGTGACGAATGGTATTCCTTCAGTTAGTGAACCAATTAATTTTGACAATGTGCATCCCACTCATAATGTTGGAAGTCACATGAGGAGAATTTTTGAGCACACCGACATTTCGAAATATTCCGTTCATGAGGATTTGTGCGCTTTATCCATACACGGACAAACTGCTACTGGCTCTGTGCACGAAGACATTCCATGGATTCCGGAATGTTCGCCTCGACGGACGAGTGTACTTGACGAAAAGAATGATTTGGCTCGTAATGGGCCCCCTTCAACTGATTTGACTACGCTGAAAATGGACAAGTTCGTGAGTTTTCCTACGTTTCTTTGATATACTGATTAACGCAACTAGATAGGTCTGTCCTTTGATTTCTCCTAGGCACTGTACTAACAAGCAGTTTGCGTGTCACACATTTTGAATCCACCAACTTTGAGAAATTTATCCTTTACCATGTACCATCCATTGCGACGTATACTCGCTGGTTTTGGGAATCCTAAATCGAAGCCCACACGAGTGCTTTCATTTGACCCATCAAACTGTCCACAAGTCACAAGCTCGTACTTATCGTCTCTCTATCTGTTCTATGTTTATGAATGCGAACCTTCACTATCCTTATTTCCCTCCTTTCCATTTACCTGTGCTGCCTTTGCCTTGTTCTGTGTATGGAACGCGGCTGTTTTCGTGTGTGGCTACAGCCAGTCCGATTTCGGTCACGGTAGAGTCGTCATGGGGTGCAAACGGTATAATTACTACGCAAGCCACAAGTTGTATATTGGGACATTGCTATGGATTACCACTAGGTTGGGTCCAGGAGTTTAATGAGTTTCTCATGCTCCGAGTGAATTTGTCGCTTACAGCACTCTACAATACCGGTTCAACGCAGGAACAATCGGGTCGTTACGTGGTACACGAGGAAAATGCAATTCACCGTATTTCCGACTGTGCAACCAGATTTTTAAAAAACAGAGTCCGCCGGCCGAATCCTACGGCCCTTTCAATGGTGTTACATGGCTCTACCCAATTAGTTCGCTGTACAGCGCATAGCCGGATACACTACTTCATAGGGTGGCTTCCAGGGGGGGGGGGATCACGGGTCACTTGGCAAGCATGTGAGAGGGCGTGAAGGGAACAAATGGCCGATATTTGGTGTGACCTCTGCGGCGACAATGAACCGACAGTGCACATTTGATGTGGTCGCTGTGGCAATTTGCATAACGGGAAACAAGCCATCATAACAGCAGGGGCAGGAATATGACCATTGGGGCTTCGAATAGGAAAACACAGGGGCTTGACGAATGGTAGTAGGCTGAAGTTTACCAGATTGCACAGGTGTCAATTTTAGTGTTCCATAGCAAAATCCCACTATTCCGTTGCGAGTTACAGGGTCAATTTACCGTTTACATGCGACGTAGTCTTAAGTGGTTATATTTCTTTATTTATTCAACACCACCAATAAATAATGGTCAGAGTTTAACAACACGTGGGTACCAACAACAAAAAGGTTCAAAAGTGGCAGTCAGCAGATGGGTAACGTGGGGGTATGTGATTAAACCAGACTTAAGATCAAGAATCAATTTAGTGATTTATTTAAAGCGACCTAAGGACCGACTAAATTTCTTTGAACAACCTCATATTCGCAACTCGTTTAACAAGGTTACTCCCAGATACTGTTTGTTCGAAGTTATTACTTCTAACGCAACACTGCTGTTCTTCGCCTGATGGTCAGTGCCTTGAATACTAGTCGGCAGCGATAACACGTTAGAGATGTGCCAAATACGGAATGGTAGAGAAAGTCGCGGCAGCTGAACCCAACGTATATTGTATGCACTACAAGGAATGGAAACCCATTCAGCAAGAGCGAGGAACAACGTAGCGCGCACTCAACAAACAGACAGTGTCTAAGGAATGCACAATCATAAGAACGAAACGACAGTCGGACGGTACACAGACCAAATGATGGAAATTCTCGATCGATCTGTCAAAGGGGAAAAGTGAGTATTCTGTCGGTGCCCCGCGACTGCTTCCACCCACTAACGGTAGTGAGAACACAAACGATCAGGGACAGAGATTCAAGGGTTCTTCTACATAGTGGAATCAGTTCGTTATATAGCATAACGCACAAGTATGAAAGCCAAACAGAGTATGGTAAGCATGCGGACAATTGAAGCCAATAAGGAGGAGGAACCAAACAAATGCATACAAAGGACGTAGAGTGATAGCGTCAGAGTATGGCTGCGATCTGAAGGCAAAAACAACGACTCCAAATAGTTAATAGGGATGGCGAAATGATCCGTTAAAACAAACATTGGTGAACCTCCATAGCAGAATGAAAGTGGTCATGAACGGCTACTCAAGCGTACCTGTATTTTTCTTGCACCTCCAACAGTGGAGAGTGGGGATTAATATGGAGAGTAACAGGTACGGTCAAACACGGGATTCAAAGTGTGTGTTGTAAGGTTGGTTCGATCAACGCAAAGCTTAACACTTCTTTATTATTTGGATGTGGGCTGGAGTACATCGTTGGTGGGCTGTCGGCACGGGCTCGTCGGACTGCAAGAATCTGGCTAGTCCAGAAAATAGGCCGACAGGACATTTCCTCCGCTGTTTACACGACGGTGTACTTGGAGGCGTCACTTACACCACCGCACCCCAGTTCACCGTCAATACGGTCCTCGTGCCACGGATAAATTCGGGTGTCCTGATCGGCATCATGTAGCCGAAGTTTGGGGATCAATCTGGTTGTTGGCGTCCGCGATCAAGGGCGACTGGTTGTCGTTCAGGTCAGGGTGGCGCCTTGAGACAGTCGACGGGTAATCCAATATTTGTCCTGACTATTCAGTTGGTTATGGCTCTGGAAATCAGAACTCAGATGGGTTGCGCAGAGAGTCGGGGGATGTGGCTTGATGCCTTAGAGGGAACATGGCATGCAATATGAAAGCAAGGACGTTTATTGGGTTTTTCAAACTACTTCTGAGTTTTTGTCGCTATTGCGAAACGTTGTTGTGTGAATCGCACAATTACTGCAAGAAGCGAAAAACATGTGTATTAATAGAAATAACATAGTCATCGATAGAGCAAGAAACGTACGCTTTTTGACACCAATTCGGTTCACTGCGATCAACTGATAATCCCATCGGTCAAACACAGACTCGTTTACTATGCTTGGCCTGCCCTTTGCTTGGCGCGTCAAGCATTTGCCGGATTCATGTAGATAACTAAAACGCCTCCTATTGTATAACACCCAAGCTCCGTTAAAACTGCAATAACGCAAACACATCCTGCGCATATCCACAGTACCCCACCAGATTCATAACCTCTCACTGGCCATGATCCACCAAAAAAATTAAAGCAATGGACCGACTCATCAGAGGGAGTATTCGCAAATAGCTATGGCTACCTAGATACACTGTACCGCCTACTTCTACGTCTGCTTGGACAGCTTCGTCCTTGGCATCCAATCAATGTCCACAATGATCCCTGTTCTACACGAAGATCGACTGGAAAGCCACCTCTCCAACACTCATTTCATCATCAGCTGGGCGATTCGAGATCCCGCTGTTGCAACCATCCAACGACTGGCCCTGACACCGATGCAGTTGGGAAAGCACATAATCCTGGATAGGGATTTGGCCAAAACCGCTTGGGTCAATACTTCCTTGACTAGTCTTCAGACAGCGTTGCCCTCATTTGTGGCAGCTCTTACACGTGGTGGGGATCAGCTAGAATTCGTTCAGCAATTCAATTACCTTGAAAGTTGTGTCAGCGCCCTTGGGATTGAAGGTGAGGTCACGAACTGCATGTCAAAAGCTCGAGACACTTTTGCTAATCTTCGTCACTTATGGCGCCGGCGCAACATCACTCTCGCCCTGAAGGGTAGAGTGTACATTGCAGCGGTACGTTCGACCTTACTGTACGGCTGCGAAACCTGGCCTCTTAGATCAACGGACATAAAGAGGCTAGTTACGTTCGACCCTCGGTGCCTTCGCAATTTGGCTCACATCTGTTGGGAACACCGCGTGAGCAACGAGCGTATTCGACGCCTTGGTTACGGCACAGGAAAAGGAACTGAAGCCCTCAACCTAGTCATTTCAAGCACCAGGCTCGGATGTCTCGGCCACGTGTTGCGAATGCCAGCCCACCGACTTCCGCGACTTGCGTTGTTTTGCTTACCGAGAGTGTGGATGGAAGAGGAGGAGGGGTGGACAAGCAATGACTTGGTCGGGAGGGATGAAGGCCCTCACTTCGGTGCTAGCCTCAATTGGAGCTTCACGGATCTCTGGTTGGGGTCCAAAAGACAATGAACACGTTTGGCTAGATACACTTGCTGACATGGCTGGGAGCCGACCTCAGTGGCCTTCCTGCCGTGAGTTTATTTGTCCCTCTCCATCTCTATTAGCCTCCCCCCAACCACGGTCTCTTTTTGTAGCATTATATATATTTACCTAATCATGTTTCTCGTTGTCTAGTATCCGGCTGTTAGCTTTCCGGAACGATGCCCATCCGTTGCTTGTAGCTAAGCTGGCATGCAACTGTTGTATTTATTTTCTTCTTATGTATTGCGGCACAGTAGCTGAGGTGCTTCACACCTCTAGCTAACGTGTATAATGAGGATGATGACTCCATTATACACGAGAAACACCATCGAAAGTCTGATCAATGTGCACAACTACCAATTGTCTAACTGTGAGAGCAATAGCTGCATTCATAAGTAAAATGGTGTGCTGTGTAATGGTGCCACTAGTGCATCGGGGCAGACTGAAATCTAAGCGCATTGTCACGTCAAGTCAAGTCAAGAACTCGTTTTTATGCACCCATGTAGGTTGAATTTTCAGCTGTAACACACACGCGATCGAAATGGTAAAGCGAACAACACTGTAATCTTATAATGTGCTCCCGGCAGTATGATTGCCTTTAGCAGCGAAAGCAGCCTACTAAAAGCTTACGGGTTTGTTGGAAGCTGGTCATGAGCCGATAACAGCTTTTGTGGCGATAGCAATACGGCGCCCATCGACCGGTCATCACATACGGCCAGGCCGTTTTCCACGATTGCTAGCACAGCGCCCCACTAACCACTTCGTAGGAAACCCTTTCGCTGGCTTTTCACCTGCATGAAGGTCGACTACCGCTCGATCGAAGCATGACACGTTCAGTGCGGCTATGTGGTATCCGGCTCACGTCCAGTTCTCACAACTGAACGGCGTGCGTTCTCTAGGTCTTGCCATGCGGTCGAGGCATGACACATTCATTGCGGCTATGGTGTCTGGCTAACGTTCACTTCTCACAGCCGAACGGCTCCGCACACATATGGCGTCTGTATCCCATCTCACTGCTGCCGGCAAAGCAATTTGCGCCATTGGACTGTTAGCAATTCAGCGTACCGGTTGTACATAAGCACCTGAGTGCAGCCGCTCCTAGCTACGGACGACATTAACAAAACACCCGGTAGAATGTCAATGGCGCCTTTACCCTCCGACGGTCCCTGTTATATGGATTGGCTTGTTGCCTGCACCTAAGTGCTACTGCAGTAGTGCTAAGTAGGATGATATTAACGGGTAAATCGGACTTGAACTGGCCACCTGTGAACCACATCGACCCCGTAACACGGTGAACATCCACAAATCCCAAATGAAGGTGTAACGAAATTGAACGACGAACCCGCTGGTTAAAGCGCACTTTGCAATATCAGGGAGGGCAGCCTTTGTGAGCGTGCGCACAATGCGTGTGAGTGGCGCTATAGTTTGACATGCCTTGTGTACCTTGCAGATAACGCTGTCCGAATGACCGACTTTCTGGGTTTCCGTCCACTGCTTGTAGCCATGATCATGTCTAGTGGATCGAATCAGGGCTCCGATCATTGGACATAGGGACAGCACTCGCCCACGCATTGCTCACTCACAGCTCAATATAAGGCTGCGAGTGCCCTATGATAGTCGACCATAGGTTTCAATATAAATAAATAAATGTATTGCTTCTCGACAGTGCGAAAGACTGTTTCCGCATAGCGACAGATCAAAAGGTTTGGAACCGACAGGATTTCATGATTTCAGAATATTTTGAATACAAGTTGTTTTTTGTTGGATGTTATTGTTGCAACTTTTCGCTCTTAACGCAAGAGCTTATTCAGACAGGTGAATCTGTACCCAATTGCCTTAGCGTTTTATGACTTTTATGGCTTTATCATGAAGTGCTAAGCTAATTGTGTTCCGATTCACCTGGCCTGAAGATGCTCCTGCGTTAAGAGCAAGACGTTGCAACAATAAAACTCCACAAAAACTGAGTTGTATTCAAAATCTTCTGGAATCACTATCACAGTTTTCCTTCGCTTGTGGTGTTAATTGGACCACTGAAGGGTACAGCATATTCACCATCTAAGTCGCATTTTTGAATACCTAGGTTTTATTAAACCTTATACAACTTATATTTTGATCGGTTCTTGGAGTGCTCGGATTAGTTTTTGATCCTCCATTCTCCTAAGTGATTTCAGGAAATTCGTGGTGTTATACCCGGTCCAATGTGAACTGAATACTATCAACAACATGAGGAACAATCTGGCCTAAGAGTAGAATAATCTCAGTTATTCTACCTACCTTATTGACTTTTGATGTGCACTTAGGCGAATTCATGCTAAGATCTTGGCCACATTTCTTGCGAGGTCCTCACTCCAATATGCCGTTGGTTTCCCAACGATTAGTTTCTTTCTCATTAATATTTCAGCCATCGACTGCTTCCCCCCACACTGGCACGATGACTAATTCAGCAGGAGACACTGACCTTGTACATCATGGAGCGACAAGCTTTACCAATCCAGCTAGGCAATCTGAGTGGCCTTTATGTCCCTCTATGGGCGAAGAAGGTTCCGGTGAAAACTCGGTCTGCAATAAATCTCATATCTCACGTGGTTAGTTCCAGTGCTCGTTTAGAACAAACGACACAAATGTGCACTAATTTGGTCGCTGTTTTTCAAAGCTCGCCTGGTAACTTGTCGTGAAAATTCCTCTATGCACATGTTTTCGCTTTTTTATAGGTTCACTGAGGGTTTGGAAAGTCCTCGATTTGTTCCGATGGGCCACAAATAGACATTTCTGCGTTTGTAACAGTTGTGCTTTTTGTTCAATTTTCCGACTAGCCTGCGACCTTTCGTTTGTAAAGAGTTACAAATTGCGACATTCTTGGCTACACTGCTTACAATAAACTGAGCTAATGTTGTTAAAGTTAATAAGATACCATCATCGGAAGTTGTCATGCGTGCGTATTGTCGCTGTTTCACGTACTGGTTTTGTGTCTCCAAAAACCGTTAGCATATGGATGTATGATCAATGGAAATACCGCCCATACCTGTAACTTTCCTTCCGGTAACCTTCTGAGGATTCTAAAGGAGATTGCGCGACGCAATGGGACTACGCAGCACGGTAACGTTGGGCGGTCTGAGTTCTCTCCGAATGAATGCAAGACGTAATTCTCTGGGTGTGACACGTTGCATGATCACCTAACTAGCATTCTGAAGACATCCGTTTATGGTAATCCTGTGCGTGCAAAATTCCTTAACGCCAGCTGACATATAGCACAACTTCTGTCGATAGTTTGTTGAGTTCAAATGGGACCAACGCAGATCATACCTGATACCTGTCGGTCCTCAAGACAGTTGCGCATCAGTAACACATTCTCCGATTCTCGTGTGCCTTTGGGTGTGTGAATACGTATGAATACCTTATGGCCCATCATTTTAGCAACTTCGCTTATCCTCATTGTGCCGTTGTAACTTTTTCAGCTACATCAACGGAGCGTACCGCGCTCACAGTTGTCACTGACGCTTCTCCAACCCAATTGACACCGCGGAGCACAAGAGATTATCATCAACAGGGTGATGCAACTAATCGCCGGCGCAGTTTGTCTTGCGGTCTTCTTGGTGAGTGCATTATCAACGATGTATAGTGAGATCCAAGATGCTGGCTATTCTCACTATCTGTCTGCAGACTTGTCATATGCTGGCCGCCAATTGTTGTCACTAATTGCTGGCTTTTGCAATGGTGATCAACCAGAATTCGCAATCACTTTGATATTTTTTAGGCTCCTCCTTATAACTGTTTTTAGATCTCTCCGTCCACATTGCGAGGCCCATCGATATCAAGCGTGACGATCCTCTGCGTCCCAGTTCCTCTCAACGGGTTGCCTTTACTTCAATTGCTCCTTATCTGTTTGAGGGAACGGAACATCGTCCTGAGGTAAACACCTACCTATTTTCTCCCATTTTATGTCACCACCCTTATATCAACATTAAAAAGCTTTATTTGTCATAAGAAACGCTTTGGCTTCAATATCAGACCAGACATATGAAGCGCGAGGATCACATATTTATCCACCAAACTCGGTACTCACAATTTTCCTTGACATCACTCTTCTAGCCTTCAATCAGCAAAATACGCCTTCGTAAGCATACTACAAATCGCCACCATTTGATGGAAGCTACTCTTCAGGTAATCCCGTTGATCTTCCTATTTCTCCATAACCCATATGGGTGGCGGCATCCGGTTCCGGATTTGCCTGTCATGGAGAGAGCTACAGAACGCCTGTGCCTACGGATGGACCACGGGTGACTTGCAGTGCATCGCCCAGTGCACTGCCTCATATCCAGTGTAAACCAGAAGGAACAAGACCGAAAGCATTGCTTTCTATCTACTTTGGGAAGTATGCGTACCAGAGGTACACAAGACGGTGGCTGGGCTCTAGCCCGCTTCACTCTTTAAGCCTAGCACGGCCACGAGTACCGTGTACCTCGTCCTACCGAGCAACGATACAAATTCTTCTGGATCCAGTAATCATGCTGTGCAATTGGATAAACTCGCAGAGATAGTCAATGGTCTTTTCTAACGGGACTTCGGTGAAAAGTGACGCCACATCTAGCGAGCATATCTTCCGTCCAGTTAGATCGAGTTGTTGCAAGGACTCAAGTGGATTGTCAAACGCCTCGAGCCGGTCAGGAAGCCTTATCCAGGTACTGCCTCCGGAACATTTTAAAATTTCTTGACTCGGTGCAACAACTTGATCTAGCTGGAGGGAAGATGTGCTCACTAGACGTGGCGTCAGTTTTCACCAACGTCCCGTTAGAAGAGACCGTTGAGAATCTCTGCTCGTTTATCTAATTGCACAGCATCAACATCTATATCCCAAATAAACGTTTAAGTCAACTTACACTGGCGTGCACTAAGAACATTCAGTCGCAGTTCAATGGGACGGTTTTTCCGACAAATAGACAGAGTAGCTATGGGTTGACTTTTAAGACCGCTACTCGCCGATGTCATCATGAGTAAGTTGGAGAACACCTGGCTAAACGAATGTATCAACAACTAGGTTTACCACGGTCAGTACATTGATGACATTTTATGTTACGGATGGTCGGGTATGTATTGAAGATTTGCTAGCCCACTTCAACGCTGCAAACAACAACAACATCGTGTTCACTATAGAACTTGAAAGTAACAACTCCTTGTCATTCTTAGATGTCCACATCACCAGGACATCAGACTGGACAGTACAAAGGCGAGCACAAAGGAAGACAACTTGGGGCGGCCAGCATATTCATTTCGTCAGTTTCATTCTAATGAGTCAAAAACGAAACCTCGTCCGTTGACTAACAGAACGAGCGAGGAAAATATGCACGGAAGACACTCTGTCGGATGAGTTGAGTTTCATTCGAAGCCTTCGCGAACGCAATGGTTGCCCATCCAAATTCAACTGGAGGCACGTAGAGCCACGAGTATCAAAATTCCAGCCAATCGCTGCAGAAAAGCGCTTAATCTACTTATCCCTGCCTTTCAAGCGTGATGTGATGGCAGAACGAACTACTCGACTGCTCTGCAATGCAACCACGAGAACCTACTTTGCAGCTGACCTCCGTGTCAGTTTCACTTCTAAACCAGTCGTGAGTCAAAATCTCAAAGACTGGCTACCGAGGTTGAATATTTCCTTCTGTGTGTACCATTTTGTTTGCATGTGTCAAGCAAGTTATCTTAGAAAGATGACCAGGCGACTGGCTGAGAGAGTCCGGGAACATTGCCCGGCGTGCCTCTATACTGGTGTCAGAAAGACAGTAGCCAGTGCGGTCCTCTGACATTTGGTCGACTCAAATCACCAAATAAATGTGCGAGAGGTTTTCCGGCCTATCTACGGGATATCTGGACGCCACACGCGAGCCCTCCGATGTCGCCTATTGGCGACAGGAGAGGCAATCGCTATTCGGCTCCATAACCCCAACTTTTGTGCTCAAAATAAGTTTGTACAGGCTCTACAGCTACCAGGGACTCAAGCTTCCCCATGTAATGACATCGCGCTTAACCTTTCCACTAATGTTGCCCTAGCCACTGTCGTCACTTGATCTCATTGACCGGTCAATTCACTTCATTACTTTGCAGGTATTGAACTAAACTTACAAACTTTATCGGACTACCAAATCTCCGTAGCCCCAGCCACAGTGCTTCGCGGTTCAGCATGTCGAATGCCTTGGTGAAGGCGACGCACAGCAGGTACAATCGCTTGTGCGTATCTGCATTTCTCATGCAACTGACGAGCTGTGAACATTACATCTATGGTGTTACGTCTTTAACGAAATCCACCTTGCTCTTCGGCCATATGCGGTTCAACGACCTTAGTGTCGAGGCAGTTAGCGGCATTTGTGCGATCATTTTTATGACACAACTCAACAACTTGATACCACGATAATTTGTGGCACATCGCTTGCTCCCTTTGCTCGCATACAGTGGTAGCTCAAGAGCATTCTCCAAGTCAGCAGGCACCTCTTCTTCCAACCACACCTATTGCATCAAGTGGTGTTGCTCAAATTTCGACACATGCCCACCGTGTTTCAACACTTCTGGCAGAATCCTGTCAGCCCCGGCGCTTTTGCCGTTTCGCAGCAAAGCAAGTGTTCTCTGCGACTCATCCAGTGTCGGTGTGTCGGCAAGCCACATGTTCATCTCCTGGTGTTGCAGTCCATACAACGTAGGCCAGCCAATCTCTGAACGGTTATTCAAGGTACAGTCGATGTGTTTTCTCCAGTTGTCCATTGTCCGCATTCTGTGTGCAAGCAGCACTTGAAGTAGCATCCGCTTTCATCCTCAACTAATTCACTATGGGTCAAAACGCTACCTTCACGGACTCCAAGAATTCCTGATGTTAGCAGTGTTCGGTGCTTTGTCTTCATCTTTCACAAGTCACCTCGATGCGACGGAGCTATCGAGTCAATCCCCGTCGATGTTTTCGGAACTAACACTCTCTGCGTCTGCTGGGTCATCCACGTGTGCAACGAATGCTGCATCACTCACTGACGCCAATGCGCCAATAGTCGCATTGTTGTCATCAAGCCAATTAAGCCGCTTATAGTTTGTGCGTCCGATCGTACCTCGGCCGCAACTCTCACCTGTTCACTCATGTGGTGCCACATCCGTCCGACAGATACGGTGCAACTGACATTGCTAAGACAGGTGACTGTCGCCTTCTGCAGCTCCATCCTCTTCTCAGCGGTATCTAGGGAACGAACATTAAATTTGCGCCGATTCACGGCAGCAGCGCAATATATGGTTTTACGATCATATATGTACAATTCAGTCCGCACCAACTTGTGACCAGTGTTACACACAGCTCAACGCAGTTCAAGTGTCATGCGCAATTCACACATGTCATGCTGGCATACGATAACATAGTCGAGTAGGTGAGCTTGGCCACTGCGTGGGCGCATCCAAGTAGCAAATCATTCTTCAACGCGACGAAACTACAGAGCCATATATGCCCGCACACGAGCCAAGGCTCATCTGTCATACCTTATCTGGCTAGATTTCTGCTTGATCCGAATATTATCATACAAGAACTAAACAGCAAATTATGTTAGTGATCCTGTGTTACCCATGAAATATTGTTTTAGCCGCCGTTTTTTTACTGTTTTTGCATGCATTTTATTGTTTTTCTTGCGTTTCGATCGCGCGTGCGTTACGGCTGAAAATTCACTCTTCGTATGTGCATAAAAGCGAATTATTGACTCGACTTGACTTGACCACTCGCACCCAGTGCGAACCCGGTGTTGGCAATCGTCAGGCGCTGAGTAGCACACAGTGAGAGCAGCCGGTCACCGTTCCCATCGACTGTGTTTAAACCATATGAACTGATTGCATGTGTACGCACTGCGGCATCACACCCAACTTGCGCGTTGAAACAATTCAGTAAGAACAGCCAGTCGCCCCTCGGCTCATACCATATCACGGAGGGCACTTGAGTGTAAAACCGATTTTTGTGTCAGCTGGAAAACAAGTGGTGTGACCATACATGTTAATAATAGAAGCAACTTTACTTCTTCCAAGTCGTAGGCGAAGGGTCCTCATTCTTAGTCCGATGCCAGTTGGCTCTTACACCAGCTTGCCATGCAGGTGGTCGGATAGTACAAAGCTGACGCCATGTTCACGTGGTGCAGAGGTGCTGTTCCCCACCCAGTAGAACTTCTTACGGGCACCAGTCTCATGCATTTTGGTTTGGTCAGCAAACCGTGTTTGAGTGCGGCCATGTCAATGCCGTATCACGCGAGTTCCATCGCGACAAATGCAATGCGTCTCTTGGGGCCTTCATTAGCTTTCCAGTCGAGTAATTTGCGCACGTTCCAGCACCCGGTGTTGAACGCTTTGCGCGAAGACACGGTTACGCTTGGCAATCGCTGGTGTAATGCTGTGTATTAGGAGAAGTATTGGGTTCATTCAAAGGGGAACAGTGAGAGAATGTGCACGGGAAGAAGAAAGAAGAAAGGCGTCAGCGGTAGCATGTTTTCACTTATCTAGCCCACTGTATGCAGCAGATAAAGTGACCCTTTGCTAGTGTCACCGCGCGACGGCCGATGCAGATTGACATTATCAGTATTGGTGTACTTCATGAATTATGGTTGGACTAGTGTACTGCCCTGGTATCTACACCATAATGACTTGGACCCTCAGCCAAAACCTTTGATAAAAGGTATTCCCGAGGGGCCGTGCGCCATGAGTCATTGAACCGACTCATGCGGAAGTTTATCTTGGCTCTTAACTAGAAGGCGAGTGTAGCCCAACTCAGTTCAAGCGGTCGCTAGAACAAGGCGTTCAGGACATGGTTCCATGGAAAATTAGCAGCAGCGCGTCGACGATTTGTCAGGATCTCGTTACCAAAAGCCCCAACGAGCCATGAACTCTCTAGCCATAAACATGCTTTTAAT